TGGCTGGCCCCTGGGGGTCCCAGGCAGGGTCTGTGGGGTCTCAGGTGTGGCACATCCTGGGTGGGGTGTGGGGCTCGCAGGTGTGGTACAGGGGGTCTCAGGTGAGGTTGGTGGGATGTTGGGTGGGGGTCCCAGGTGGGCTTCGTGGGTTGTCAAGTGGGCTTTGTGGGGTCCTGGGTGGGGTGTGTGGGTCTCAGGTGTAGTACCTGTGATCCCGGATGGAACATCAGAGGCCCAGGCGGGATGAGGGGTCCTGGATGGGGAGGTCCCAGGTGTGTTGTTGGGAATGCAGCCACAGTAGCTCTGAGTTTTGCTGAGAATTATTCACATTTTGGGGTTCCTGATCTCCCCCATGTGTTCAGGCTTGGGCAGTTGTGCCCCCCTTGCTGTCAGGCTCTGCAGCTGCCATCTCAGGTATTGGGGTAGGAAGGATTTGGGGGTTCTGCCAGCCCTGCTTGGTGCCACCACAGTAAATGTTCTGTCACCGTGGGCTGTCTGTCTGTCTGTGTCCTCCTGGGACCCAGCCTCCCTGGGGACTTCCCTTTTCCCCTCCTTCTCACAAAGGGCACCTTGGCCACAGGAGGACTGAGTAATCCTGTCAGGAGGGAAAAAAAAACAGTGCTAAAAGAGATGTTGTGTTTATGGAGAGGTTGGAAAACTGGATTTCACCACCTTTGAAGACTCTAGTAATGTGTTTTTTTCAATGTAGGTTCTTGTCTGCTATTTATCTCTTGTCCTACTTCCAGGGAAGCTGAGGAAATTTTGCATTTGACAATTAAGCTCATTGAGTTGTCTTGGAAATCCGAATCCCATGGTTTTGTCAGTGTTATTGGGAGTGTTGTCATTGTTGTCAGTTTCAGAAATTGTTGTCAGTTTCAGAAATAAATGTTCTGAAAAATAAAAGGATTTACAAATCACCATTGCCCATTGATAGTATTTTGGTTTCTTTGAAGACAAAGTGTGGAGGTAAAGTTCTGTTCTGTCTGTGTGGGTTCTTTGCCTGATTTCACTTCAATTTTTATGCATTTCTGCCATTCAAAAATACTCTGACAGTCTGTTGCATCGATGGGTTGTACTGCTTGGGAATTAAGGGGTTTAAAAATCCACTTGTAGATGGGAAAGCGTTTTGTGTGGTTTGGAGCTGTTACAGTGAAGCCTCCATTCAGAAAAGGAGTTTTTGCTCTCCGCTCCTGCGTTTTGGCTGAAGCTGTTGCTTAGTTGGTTTGGGGCTTGGTGGTTTTTTTAAGCTCCATATTTAAAATACGGATTTAGTAGGAATGTACAGATTTCTGGTGCTGCTTTCAGAGGTCTGTTGCAGGGTGATCACTTTGTTCCCTTCCCTTCATTGTGTTTGTGCAGCGTGCCCAGGGCGCGCTCACACAGCACCGTCACCAGAGCCAGCTGCTTTCTCTGATTGCTCTGGGCAATTCTGCAGCTCCAAAAAAGCACTTCACTCATCAGTCCCCATTGGTGAGGGGTTTGTGGCCGTGCCAGCGTGGCTGGTGCTGGCAGTTGCCTGAATCCTGGAGTGAATTGTGGTAGATCTGAGCAGCACGTACGGGGCTGTGCTGCCAGAGCTTGCTTTGGACCAGCTCCTCTTCCCGTGCCCTCTAATCAGCTGAGGGGGTTTTGCTTGATTGTTTCTTTTTATTTTTTTCAGCAGGGACTTATAAATAAACCAGGAGCTCTGTGGAAAGGGATAAATATTTAATAGTTTGGCCTTTACTTGCTCCCAACAAGCAGTGGTACCTCCTGACGCTTGTTCTGTTTACGTTGCGTTTGTTGGTTTGGAGAATTCTTGTTGATCAGGTTCCCCAACAAAAAGGGAAGCATGACGCTTTGAACACTTCGGCATGCTTGGGAGATCTTCAGAAATTACATTTAATATTTCATCATTCTATTTGTTTTCGTGTTGATACTGTGTGCCAGGGAGTGGATTAAAATGACTGAGTTGAGTTAAACAGACCTTGGCTGTGGTGAGAACCAAGCCCTGCCCATGTTTGGGGCTGAGCTGTGTGAGTTCTTTGGAGGGAGAGCCCCAAAATGATGGGGTGGAGGATGGCAAGACTGGAGCATTGGGAAGCACAGGTGTGTGATAGTTGTGGAAGGAGAAATCAGCACACAGTGCTCAGGGCTGGAGAAGAAGCTTCAGGATGTTGAAGATCCTGAGTAGAGGATGAAGTGAAGAGCAAAAGGTTGTCTTGGTGACCGTTGACCTGCTGCCTGTACAGTGGAGAGGTGCAATTTGCTCCTGGATAAATGCATAATTTAAATTCCCTATTTTCTCCTAGTGCTCATATTACACAGCTCTTTTATATTTATAAAGCAGGTTGGCTTTCAGCACTTCCTGCAGCCGTTTCTGATGCCATTGTCTCTTGTACTCTTCGTCAGTTTCTTTTACATCCACGCTTGAAATTGAACATTGAATATCTATAAGTGTGTTTCCCTTCCACAGCACTTTGATGTAATAACTGCCTGGGACACTGAGTGAGGTTCTTGTTTGGGAAATTGCTGCTGACGTGGGTTTCTGCAAGTTGCTTGCAAATGAGAATTTTAAACTGGGTCCTTTTCTGCTGTTTGGCAGCTGTTTGAGAGTGAGGGCTAGCAATTTCCATTAGGATTTTAGTTGAAATTTTAATGGTTCTTCCTCTAGGTGCACTTGACCCTTGATATGTGAATGAGTGTTTTCTCCAAGGTTCTATTTTTGTTGTAATTAGATAAGTGAGAAAATAGAAACCCCATTATTTTGTGATGTTTCTAAAGGAGGCAGAAAGTGATGGGGTTTTGTGGATAGTTTATTTTTCTTCAGAAAAGCTGTTCCTAAGCAGCTGAGAATTGTTCTCTGGTGGTCCTGCTGAGTCAGATACTTCAAGAGGAGCTGTTTATTCATTGCATGCTTAGCCCACACAGCACACTGACCTGTTCCCGAGCTGTGTGGGTGCTGGAAGTCTCTTGTGGGTGATGTGGATGAGTCAAAGCCGTGTCAGGGCTGCTGGGAGGATCAGCTCTGTGTTTCCTGGCTCTGCACTGCCGGGGTGCTTTGGGATCCCGCTGAGGGATGGATACCCATTCCCTTGGATGGTGTTGTTTTCTGTGGGACCTGCAGGAGCAGCTGCAAGTGCTGACCAGAGGGTGGGAGGCTCCTGGTGGTGCTGCTGATGTGGAAGTTGAGGTGGGTTTTCCATTTTCACTGAAGTGACAGAATTTCATGTACTCTTGTTTTCCTCCTGCAGCTTCATGTTTCCCGTCGCAGGCGGTTTGGGCCCCCCCCAAGGTACGTATCAGCTTCACATGCTGAGCACAAAGTTCTTGATTTTGTTTAGACAAACTAGACCTAAACCAGGTCTGCAGTGATGTTCAGAGGTGTGATTATTAGTTGAACTCCATGCCTGGGTTTTGCCCTTGAATTCAGCTTTCTCACTCCTCTGTTGGGAAAACCTGTGTATTGTTGAGGCAGCGTCACCAGAATGTGGATTAAAGGTCCAGGAAAGCTACATCTCCCTTTTTAACCTGAACTGGCCTTTTGGATTCTGCTGTTGTTTTGAGTGTGGTATTTCACCTCTCTCTGCTTCATCTCCCAGCTGTGTACACCCATGCTGTGTGGGTGTTGCAAGAGCTGGTAAATATTTACAAAGCACATCAAGACCCCGGGACAAGAGTCACAACCTGTGTGGAAAGTATTAATACAATGGGAGAGCCCCAGCCTTAAATTGCCTTTGTTCTCCTTCCTGATGCAGTGCTGTTTGTTTAATTAGGGGAAAATATGCAGAGAATTTATGGGGAGAATGGAGAGGTTTTTATTAAAATCCCAGGGACTGATTCATGGATTATTCCTGCCTGTGTCATGGCCTCCTGGTGTGTTTTTGCATAATTATCTCATGGTGTGCTGGTAGCAAGTGCATGTTAGTGTTTGTCTCCCAAGACAGCAAAATGTGAGGCAGGAAGATACTGAAATAAAACACGCTTGCTTTATTCAGTGAATTAACACATTCCAGCTTGGTTTGTCCAATTTTGTGCATGTTTAACTTTTACTGACAAGTATTGTTACCATTCTAACACGTGTAGTGGGCTAATTAACCTGAAGTGTGCTAATTAACCTACAGCAAATTATCGAGCCAGGTCAGAGTGTGAAGTTGCTTTGTGAAAGGTTGACTTTATTTCCCAAGATTTATTTTCAGAAGCTGCTGGTTTCAAGAGAAATGGGAATTGCCAGCACCAGTCACCCTGGTTAATTAAATCTTTTTAATTGGAAATGACCCTTCCAAAAATCATATGGGAAGAAACCCACAGAGAATCTTTAGGATGGTGGGATAATTCATCAGCTTAGTTACTGAAAAGCCCTGAAATATTTTTCCCTGTAGACTGACCAGTGTTTAAACTAAGAAAATTCTGTGGCTGCCTGCAGTGTAGCAAATGTTATTATTTTTATTTTTAAACCATCCAGCACAACTCAGAGTTTTTTACTTTCTTTTGCTGGTTTAGTAAACAAAAAAGAATAATTAAATGGGGGAGGCAGGGTTAGTGAAGGGGGGGAAAAAAAGCTTTTAACATTAACTGGGCACTTGGCTTGTTTACTGTTTCATTGCAGGGATGATTCCTATGCAACAGCAAGGGTTTCCAATGGTTCCTGTCATGCAGACCAACATGCCAGGGATGATGGGAATGAATTATGGCTCTCAGATGCCTCCTGGACCCATGGCCATGCAGGTGTGTGGGCTGGAACTGCAGGGCCCCAGGCTGGTTTGGGGGAAGGGGACACTAAAGCTCATCCAGTGCCACCCCTGCCATGGGCAGGGACACCTTCCAGAATCCCAGGCTGCTCCAAGCTCCATCCAGCCTGGCCTTGGGCACTGCCAGGGATGGGGAGCCCACAGCCTCTCTGAGCCTGCCCTCCTTCAGGTTATGGCCGTTCCCTCTGTCCTATCGCTATCGTTTTTCTTTTTCCTTAAAGTAACTTTGTCTTTAGTGCTGCTGTTGCTAATTGAGGAATAAGAATTAAATATGAGCAGATAATGCTGTATTTTCTCTCTTTTAATCTATTGTTTTCTTTTTAGCACCGTATGTGCTTATGTACAAATATCCACTTTGCTGAAATTTAATGTTTTTGCATGACTGTCTAACCAAATTGCTGTGTCACAAATGGAATTTATTGTTTTGCCATGTCCTTACACTCCCTTCCCTCCCCCATCTGCAATTTATTATGTTATTCTGGCAAAATTTATGGTAGGAAGATGTTTTTATGAGAGCTGGTCTAAAAATAATAAACAACTTTTGTTCTCTTCCTACGTGTTCTGAGACCAAATGCAAAATGAATGGTAAGAAAAGTAAATTATTTTCTGGCTCCTTCTATATTAGGCAGCTTTGCTGCTCTAAATGTCCCAGAATATATTTCTCAGCAAATGCTTCTGATACAGTTTATTCAGACAAGGTTCCTCTTGGCTGTTATCATATATTGTCTGGGAAATGCCTAGACCACGTTTTCCAGCATCTGTGCTTGGTAGGAGGGAATATAAAAATATTATGAAATCCCTTAGAATAGGAACCAGAAATCCCCAGAAAAGCCTTACTGAACAGTGTAGGATGGTTGTAACCTTCCTGCTCCTGGGACAGGTTGGATTTGCAGAGCAGATTTTTGCCAGTTTTCCCAAAAGCTGCGAGTTTGAGTGCTTGTGGAGAGGAAGAGTGCCATCTACTGAGGGCACTGCTCCTGCAGCGCTCCCCGACTCCGCTTTGCTGCCACTGCCAGTGGTTTGGCTTTTTCTATGGGAAACCAAAATACCCTGGAGCAGAAAGCAGTGCCCTGGAGCTGTGTGCTGTGCTTGTTTGCAGGGTGGCATGGCCCTGGGGCCCATGCCAGCAGCTGGAATGCCCTACATGGGACAGGCCTCCTTCCTGGGAATGCGCCCCGCCGGCCCCCAGTACGGCCCCGACATGCAGAAGCAGTTTGCAGAGGAGCAGCAGTAAGTGCCACCTCCCTGGCTCTTGGGCAGTCCTTCTGGCAGGGGACACGTGCATTCTCTGCAGCAGCAGTGTGGGGGGCTGTAGGATATTGCTGGATATTCCATTGTCTGTGAAGTTTGTGGTGCTTGTCCGGGTCTGAGAAGAAGCAGGAGTGTGTGCACCAAACCATCTGAATTTGAGACAGTAGAAATGGAGAAATCAAGCACAAACCTGATGTGAAAAGTCTCATAAAAATTATTTTTATATATTTAATTTTTAAAAAAATTTTTTTTAAAAATAATTCTCCCTCAGGAAGAGGTTTGAGCACCAGCAGAAGTTCTTAGAGGAAGAAAGAAAACGGCGGCAGTTTGAAGAGCAGAAACAAAAGCTGAGACTTCTGAGCAGTGTGAAACCCAAGGTATGGCCTGATAATGTTTCTTTCTTCAGGGTTTTTTTTTTTAATAGCATTTAATGGGAGGGTCTCTTTCAACAAGCAAATCAGTGGGAATTGCATGAGATGCCAGACTGTGGCTTGAAAAGCCTCTGAAAGGGTCATTCCTTTGCACACTGCCAGCAGCAGGCATTGCTGATTCTGGTACTGAAGAAGTGTGGGTATTGGAGGAAAACTGAGCTGTTCTGTCAATTCTTCAAAACTTTTTCTGTGCTCTTTCAGACAGGTGAAAAAAGCAGAGATGATGCTTTGGAAGCCATTAAAGGGAACCTAGATGGCTTTTCTAGAGACGCTAAAATGCACCCAACACCAGCAACACATCCAAAAAAGCCAGGTTTGTAATTTTCCTCATTTTCCAACTGAAAATCAAACTCCAGCATTTGAAATCCTCAGCAGGGGAACTAATTCCAACAAGTATTTTTATTTGGTGGTACAAAATGAGTGGATTAACAGTTTTGTAAAATTAAATGTCATTGTGGCAACTGTTTGCTACGTCAGGGTATGAGGGTGAAATATTGATAGATATGAACCTTTATTAAAAGACTTGAAATCTTTAACAGGAAGCCTCATGTGCTGTGCTAAATGTGAAACATCAAGGAAATTGATAAAGCGTTTGTTCTTTTCTAGTCAAAGCATTAATTAATGTTTTGCAGAGTGCTTTTGAAGATGAGAAGTGGTATTTAAGTGCTAAGAATGATCAAAACCATATATAAAGACTTGAGTGGAGTGTCACAACTGGCTGATGTGTTGTTGGGCATGGTCAAACCAAGCCTCTGTTCTCAGTAATTACACTGGCAACAATTGCTACTTAAGACTTTTTATGGTCTGTAGTGTAGTATTTTTAGTGTCTAGCCTGAAACAAAGCTTATCTAGGCCAGCTTTTTCTTGTATAAAATTTGTGTCTGTGCTCTGGATTCACTCCTTGGTAAGTTTGCAGTTACAGGTGGTCTCTGACAACTTCCCTCTGTCTGTAGATTTGCCTGTCCTTCACCAGTTCTGTTAAAATGGGTAACACTGAAAGGCATCAAGCAGAAAATTGTCTACATCAGCAGACATTTCTTTTGTACTTCATGATACATTGCTGAGTTTCTGTGGATAAAACATTCTTTTGAGGGAGAATGTCCCCCTGACAGACTCCATTGTGTCCAGTTTGAAATATTACCTCTGGATTTGTTTTAACCCTGTCTGCTGAAGACAGACAGAATACTTTCACAGCCAGTGTTAAGAACCAGCTTTCAGTGTTCACATCCTAAATCCTGGGAGAGAAGATGAGTGGTTGGAAGGGGCTGCTCAGTTTTGCCTTGTGCCAGTGACACCCTTCACGTGTCAGCACACAGACTCCATGCTGCTCCTCCTCGCCCATTTGCTGTGTATTCCCACTGTTTGCCCCTTTTCCACATTCCCACCCGTGACCCCTGTTCCTCATCACTTTGCCTTGTGTGTTCATTCCATTTGCAGATCATCCCACACCATCCCATTGTGCTGTATCTGTTTCCCATTCTGCTTTTCTCGATGATGAAGAATTTAGTGACTTTATGCAAGGGCCTGTTGAAACCCCCAAACTGGTGCCTCAGTCCACCTCTCAGCCTTTCCATCCTGCCACTGAGGCTGGGCAGCTGCTTTCAGAGAGGGCTGTGCTCCATCCTGTCCCTCCAGCCCAGGCTCCAGTGCTATCCACCCTGCATGGTACAGCTGGGCAGGTTCCTTATTTTCCTACCTCTGCATCTCCATCCAATACCCATAAAACAGGTAACTCTAAAGTATCTTCTTTTACATGTCACCCTCTGAGCTACACAAAGTCTTTACTTAATTTGTTGGGGTTTTTTTTTTTCAGTCTGGCTGGAATAATAATTTAGGCAATTAAGCAGAAACCTGCTGGTCCACGGGAAAAGATGATTTAAGTTCCCTTCTTGCTTCCCTTAGAACTGCCTGTAAAAGCAAGTCATGTATGGATCCAAATATTGCTAAATATACACATGCCTGGTCTTAGGTGAATTAAATCTTGTGTTTAACATGATCCTAAATCTGTGGGGTAGAAAAAATCACAGCTGAGATGGTGGTATATGAAATAATGATTATGCTGCTGTGGAGCACTTGTGTACTTCCTCCCTTGGAGGCTGAAGGGATGTTGCTGAGATGAACATGAATTTTGGAGATGTAAGTAGACACTGGGCACTTGTGCTCCTGATACCTGGATGATTACACAACAATAATCCTAACACAGGAAATAGCTTTGTGTCTTCCTCCTCTTACTTGTTTTTTGCTTGTTGAGTTTGTTGTGTTTGTGGTAAATGAAGGGCAGAACCAGGCTCTGAAAGGTCCAGAGAGGGTGGTGCTGTTGGTCTGAGCTGGGGCTGATCATCTCTAACTCATCAGTGGTACCAAAAGTGTGCAAGTGCAGTCTGGGCAGATCATAACAAAGTATAAATAATTCCTCCTGCTGTTTATTCAGGCTCTTCCTTGGAGGAGAAAGCCTTAGCTAATGGCTCAGATGAATCTGAACAAGAGCAAACCAAAGTTAAAACGTCCGAAGTTGGGCACAAAGCCTCGGCTGCAAGCCAAGCCCATCCCAGTCCCACCAGCAGTGACTGGGATGTTGTAGGTGGACATGAAAGTGGTCCCAGTGCTGCTGCAGAGGTGTACAAGGCTTCAGAACAAAACAGAGCAGTTGAAGAGTGTGGTGAGCAATGAAAACATTTGACAGAATTTCAATCTAATGAGATGCTGCTTGGTGCTAACGCTCTGTTCACTAATTCCAAGGCCAACCCTGTAATTTTGCTCTGAACGCCTGCTTGAATAATATGTCAGTGCCTCCTGCTCCTTGCTCAAGGTGTAACTGCTATGATTTTGCTCTGAACTTTCTCCATGTGAATTTATTGTTGTAATCACCTTTAACGTGTTTGTTTAATCAGGTTCGCTGTTTTAAAATATTCTATCCTGTCTTGGGGAAAAGAAGTTGTGCTGTCTGAAGATATTTTAAAAAAACTGTTCAGGGAAACTTACCACGAAAGTGGTAAGAAATGGTCAATGCCATGGTGGGTTTTAATCTTTTAACCTTGAGGGGATAAAATCTTTCCAGGTTAAAAGTTAGCTAGTTAATACTTGTTTCTCAAGTATTTGCTGCTCATACACATTATGTGTAAAACCACCTGAATATTCAAAAGATGGTCTAGAGGAAATCTTAAAACAAGGCTTTGTTCCAGTCTGGATTTTGTTAAAACTGTTGACTGAGTATGGAAGGGGGGTTAAAACTGAAAATTAACTAGATCTGAGGAAGTGGCAAATTTATTTTACTTGGTTGATGAAATGAAAGGAATTGCTTGTACAAGAATGTGCTTGGGGTTGTGGGATAATTAGAAATTAGACTGCAGTCAAGAGGGAATCCAAGTGGAAGATGAGATGCAAGAGTACTGAGAAGGACAATGAAATCTGAAGTGATGCTGAATTTGGTCAGAGCTCCATCCAAGATGAGCATAAAATCTGCTGAGGGAGACTGAGGGGAAGAGCCCCTTGGTGGAGAAGGGAATAACCAATTTTTGGGGGGTGAAGTGTGGCAGATGATGTTACTGTAGGAGTGGAGGTGGCTGTGGTGTCCCCTGGAGCTGCAGACTGGGAGCAGTGGATACAGGTTTGTGCATGTGGGATATGATCTTGCTGAGGTTCAGTCCCTGGGCTGTTTGTGCATTTCCCAGGGGAGGATGTTCTGGGGGAACATTGAGGGGTTTATGGTAGGTATGGATTTATTTATTCCACAAATACCCCTAATAGCAGGGAGCTGATGGGAAGCTGAATTTGTTCTGACAGAACTGCTGTGAAACTTGAAGACAGTGAGACTTTAGGTTCTGTGCATCTGCATTTTAGAGGGAGGCACATGAGGAGCTCCTTATTTCATTACATATATAACTATAATCTATTACTGCCACATCATTCTAGTTATTATTTCATATTCCTGCAGTATCTGTTTTTCCTCTGAGCACAGTGATTCCTGTCTGAAATCTTTGCCTGAAATGCTCAATGATGCTGACCAGCTGTGGTGTAGCCTCTAAGATCACTGTGCTCTGTGTCCTAACACAGCTGTTTTTCTTCCTGAATGGAATACTTTAGGAGTTGGAGTGTTCCCTCCCCAGGACCCCATCCAGCAAATGATGCCTCCCTGGATTTACAACGACAGCTTGGTCCCAGGTAAAGCATGCAGGGGCATTTGGCCAGGTGGGCAGTGCAAGGTGTGGGTGTACCTGTGCTTGCATGGCCACTTATTGATCAAAGCTTTATTCCCTCATCAACAGAATCCTGAATCTTTGATATGTTACATATTTATGGTGTCTTATCTGCATTTGAAGAAACAGGGGTTTTATTGGAGCATGTTAACAAATTCTAGATTAAACATTTATGGCAGCAGCTTATCCCAGCAGAGGATGCATTGCTGATAATGCTGCTTTCATGGGTATTCTGGTTTTTGGCATGTCTTGTAATTAGGCAGGCTCATTTCTGAAGGCTATTTGTCTTCTATGTGTAAATAACACAGTGAATAGGAAATGAATCGCTGTAGTAAATATTGATTACACTGAGGTTTAAGTACATAAGGCTCTTAGAACTATCTTTTTATATGGCTTATCCTGCAATTTCATTAAAGAAATGTGGTTTGAAATGCAGCACTAAGTGTATTTGATATAAAATATTTCTCAGCTTGAGTTAAACTTGTCTGTAAAGACCATCCAATAACACATTTAGATGAAACATGGTGATAGAATACAGTGCCAGAATGCTCTTGCCTTACCTTACACTGAGTGCTCCTGATTTGATATCATGAGTTTGAGACAACATAAAAAAGCAATAATGTTTGAAAAGAGCAGTTGTCACTGGCTAACACTGCCTCCCTCACAACAGAGCTGTATAAGAAAATCTTAGAAACCACTCTGACTCCTGCTGGGATCGACACAGCCAAGCTCTACCCCATCCTGATGTCCTCAGGACTGCCCAGAGAGACCCTGGGGCAGATCTGGGCCTTGGCCAACCGCACCACGCCCGGGAAGCTCACCAAGGAGGAGCTCTACTGTGTGCTGGCCATGATTGCAGTGACCCAGGTATGCTCTGTGACAGCAGTGACACAGGTATGATCTGTGATAGCAGTGACACAGGTATGATCTGTGATAGCAGTGACCCAGGTGTGCTCTGTGACGGCAGTGACCCAGGTATGCTCTGTGATAGCAGTGACACAGGTATGATCTGTGATAGCAGTGACACAGGTGTGCTGTGTGACAGCAGTGACACAGGTGTGCTGTGTGACAGCAGTGACACAGGTATGATCTGTGACAGCAGTGACACAGGTGTGCTCTGTGATAGCAGTGACACAGGTATGCTCTGTGATAGCAGTGACACAGGTGTGCTCTGTGACGGCAGTGACACAGGTGTGCTCTGTGACAGCAGTGACACAGGTGTGCTGTGTGACGGCAGTGACACAGGTATGTTCTGTGACAGCAGTGACACAGGTATGCTCTGTGATAGCAGTGACACAGGTGTGCTGTGTGACAGCAGTGACACAGGTGTGCTGTGTGACAGCAGTGACACAGGTGTGCTCTGTGATAGCAGTGACCCAGGTGTGCTGTGTGACAGCAGTGACCCAGGTGTGCTCTGTGATAGCAGTGACCCAGGTGTGCTCTGTGATGGCAGTGACACAGGTGTGCTCTGTGACGGCAGTGACACAGGTGTGCTCTGTGATGGCAGTGACACAGGTGTGCTCTGTGATGGCAGTGACACAGGTATGCTCTGTGACAGCAGTGACACAGGTGTGCTGTGTGATAGCAGTGACACAGGTGTGCTCTGTGATAGCAGTGACCCAGGTGTGCTCTGTGACAGCAGTGACACAGGTGTGCTCTGTGATGGCAGTGACCCAGGTGTGCTCTGTGACAGCAGTGACCCAGGTGTGCTCTCACCTGAGCCCCTGAGCTGAGGGCCAGGCACTGCACACCTCCTGTAAAAATGCTCCTGTTCAAGTGCAGCAGAGAAACTGCCATTGTCACTTCATTGTCACTTTCATTGCTTATACTTCAGTTAGTCTTTCCTTTAGTGTCAACTGAAGTTCTTAGATATAGTTACAAAACAGATATAGTTACAAAATATACATATTACATATGTATATGTAATATCAAATGTAACGAGTGACAGGACAAGAAGACATGGCCTCTAGCTGTGGCGGGGGGTTTCAGATGTAACATGAGGAAGAATTTATTCATGGGAAAGGTAATTGCTATTAAGCACTGGAAAGGAAAGTGGTGGAGTCCCCATCCCTGGAGGTGTCCAGGGAAGGACATTGCTCTGGGCTGGGTGACAGGATGGGTCAAAGCATTAACTCAGTGCCCATGGAGGCTTTTTCCTACCTCAGTAATTCTGTGTTGAATATAATTTCCTTACATGGGCTCTGTTGGCACATTTGGATGTGGGAGGTTTAGTGGGAGCTTGACCAGTGCCCTGCTCGTAGTTGGCTTCAGCCCAAGGAGCTGCAGGCTGGAGCTGAGAGCACACTGCAGCCTTTGTTCAGCCCTGCACCTGGAATAACTGTGCTCGTTGTCTCTGCAGAGAGGGATCCCAGCCGTGAGCCCTGACGTGCTGAACCAGTTCCCGGCCGCGCCCGTCCCCACCCTGTC